AGCATTCCTGGTGAATGCTGTATACTTTAAAGGGCAATGGGAGACGCGATTTTCAACCGAGATGACACAGCAAGACACGTTCCATGGCACAAAGGGAGAGAGAGAGGTGAAATTTGTTGATCTTTTAAAGTTAAGGTTTACCTAACCATATAAGGGTGCTTCATATAAATCACTAAAGTTTTCAGGAATTATTCATGTCACAACATGCACTCAGGAACTGTCGTTATATGACTGGCCATGGAGCTCAGGTGTTAGCATTGCCGTACAAGGTAGCATTTTCGCCATTAGCCTAATTTAATAATCTCTGTGCAAAAGTGCAAACTGTCTTGATTTAGGACAAAGACTATGAATTTGTCATTTTCCTGCCATCGGAAGATGTAAAATTTGAAGACTTCCGTGCTGGTTTGACTGGTCAAATAATGAAAGAATTACTGGAGCAGGCCGGCAAAGAAACGAATGGCGTCAACGTGAGCCACAAAAGTTGAAGTCCTCAAATCCTCATTCAAAACTCATTTTTAGATCAGAATTCCAAAGTTCAAGGTGACATCGCAGCCGCAGATAAAGAAAATGCTACAAGAACTAGGCATCAACCATCTTTTCAGCGATCATTGCGATTTGAAAGGTCTTTCCGAGAAGGAAGATCTTTGCATCAATGATGTCATTCACAAGGCGGTTGTTGAGGTTTGCTATAGTTTGTTCTTTTCATAAGTTTTTCAGGTCTGGTATTGAGGAAAAGTTACATTTAACGTTTGCAAGAACGTAGAAGATTGACTCAAAAACATTCCATGTTGAATGAGCTTAGTTTTTGTCGTCGTAACACTCGCTGTCCTGCAGTCTGTAATTTAACCTCATGTATATTTGCTCATTGTGCTCAAGTGCTCAAACTACTAAGCTTGCGCGTGTCTGTCAGCTTGTTAACCTATCACTTTGCGACAACAGCTCGAACAGGACTGGAGTCCACTAAAGATAATGAAAGCGGATTTGAGCTTTGATTGATGGCCAGCAACCTCGTTTATGCTTTGACATATCGACATCGAAAAATACCTTAGTCAGTTTCGAGTTTAAGTGTCAAACCGTAGTTGGCCACACCTAATCAATTTGATCCATCTTTTTTTCTTTTACGCGATTTGCATCTGCAAAATTGTTTGTCGCTAGCATTAATTAACTACGGACAAACTTTTGTTTGTCTCGCTATCCTAAAATAGGTTAGCGAAAAAAGATAAT